ACTTTTTATTTTAGTTTGATAGTTAGTTTAATATAAATATTTAATACCTATATAATTATTCACCTATAAAGAGGGTTTGGGATGATTACTTTTCAGCAAACTCCCCATAATATCAGCCCAACTAGATCCATGACGAGTCTGAGCAGAGACTAGAGAGTACGATTTAGGAACTTCGGTGTACGGTTTGAATAGGGTTTCCTTTAGATTTAATACTTCTCGTCTCAAGGTACAAAATGAAAGTTCAAATATAGTATTTGCAAGAGAGATGATGCAATGAACCTTTCTAAGGATTCAAATCTTTTACGACGAAGGTATACAATACGATTTTGAAAGCCTGGGGCCAACTTGAATAGATATTAGTTGCAGCCAAAGGAGATAAATAAATTCCCCCCCCTGTGATTCCATAGAAATATGAAACAGACAGGGGGACCAGACAGTTAGAATTGTCTTATTTGTTAATGTGTATTCATTTAATTACACAAAATTGTCTTAAACAATCGTAATTTGGTATTTAGTTAATTAAAATTGTTTACATTTTGTTAAACAACTTTTCGTGTTTTGATATTTCCCAATTTGGGTAAATTTGAACAAATTGATATTACACAAACCCACGAATTTATTGAATTGAAAAATCTCAGTCTTTTTTTTAACAGAAACCACCAAAGTCTTTTTGTTCACATCCTCAGAGTTGTATATATTCTTTTCTAATTAAAAGCTACAATTAAAAAGTGTATACAATTGAACCTACAAAGGAAACACCATTTCAAAGGCATCTTTAAGGTAAAGTAAAGCGTCATTTTTTTGCAACAATTTTACACTACCCTATTGCAATAATCCCCTTTTCCTTTTTTCTTATAATAATTGGTTACATTTACAACCACATTGCTTCTTTCTTCTTCATTACCATAAAGAATAGAAGAAAACGAGAGAGACATTTATATGCTGTTTATGATACTATAGAAGAAGAAGAATACGAAAAGACATTACTTACACCAAAAGCGACTTATATAACTTCAAGAGAAGAGGATACAACTGAGGCAAGAAGAATTCATTGAAAAAAAAGTTAACCTCAGCGATTACACCTTGCAACTCACACAGACAGAAAGATAATAAAGGAATTAATATGATAACGCTTGATTTAAATCAACATAATCCAAATGATACAATTCCAGCCGATGTATCCATCAGGCTAAATGAAGTGATTAAACACATTTTCAAATCTAAAAAATGTACAGTATTAACAGGTGCTGGTATTTCATGTAATGCCGGTATACCTGATTTTAGATCTTCAAATGGATTATATAACTTAGTTAAATCGAAACATCCAAGGACTGTTGTTAAGGGGAAAGATTTATTTGATATTAGTTTATTTCGTGATGAAATTAGTTTATCTATATTTTGTACATTTATGGAATCATTATATAAATCAAGTTTAAAAGCAAGACCAACTGAAACTCATAAATTTATTAAAATATTAAAGGATAAGAATAAATTATTAAGATGTTATACTCAAAATATTGATTCATTAGAAAAATCAATTAATTTAAATCTAGGGATTAATTTACAAGAATTTGATAATTCAAAGAAATTTAATGAAATTTGGAAATCTCTTGATGTTGTTCAATTACATGGTAATTTACATAAATTAAGTTGTACTCATTGTTTTAGTAATTTTGATTGGAATAAAGATTATCAAATATTATTATCTCAAGGGATAAATCCTCAATGTTCAAATTGTTATGCAAAATATGAAGAACGATTATATTCTGGGAAAAGAATAACCGGGAATATTGGAATGTTAAGACCTGATATTGTATTATATGGAGAACATCATCCACAATCAGAGATATTATCACAAGGATTAAATGTTGATTTAAGATCAAGACCTGATTTATTGATTATAATGGGTACTTCATTAAAAGTTGATGGGGTTAAGAAATTAGTTAAATCATTAAGTCAATCTATTCATGATAAGAATGGGAAAGTTATATTTATAAATAAAACTAGTCTTTCTAAACAATGGGATAATTATATTGATTATGAAATTTTATGTGATTGTGATGATTTTATTCACATTTTGAAAAAAGAGATTCCCGATTTGTTTTTGACTCAAGAACAATTAGATTCAAAGAAATTAAAGAATAATCAAATACTGGGGGAGGATATTAAAGAGGAGAAGAAGATTGGAGTTAAACAAGAAAAGATAATTAAATCGGAAATAACAATAAAACAAGAAATAATTAAACAAGAAGTAAAAGAAGAAGAGGGTAGAATAATATTAACCCCACCAACTACTCCATTAAAGAAAAGAATAAGGCCGTCGAACCCTCCTACATTGAAAAGACAACAACAACAATCTGGTAATAAGAAAATTAAAACTGAATCTAGACTAGCAACACCAACATCTTCATTTAATGAGGATGAGGATGTGGATGATGATAAACCATTAAAAGATTTAACTGATTCTCGATTAAACCGAGGAACAGGAAGAATGAATATGAATATGAAAAAAGAGATGAGAAATAGATCTGTAATTGTAATTGATTGATTGTGTTATGATAACACTATTCTTGTTGTTCTTCTATGTATAATATTTAAGTATTAGTAAATAATGATAAAGAGAGACCCCTTATTAAAAAAGGAAAGCTGTTAAAAGTTAAATTGTTTGCTAATGTAGTTTTAAACTTTCTTTGTGGAGGAATTCAAATGAAAAATGGTGAGATGCATTTTTTTCGCTTGCTTTTTGTCTTCTCTATTTGTATACAAATTATCACATGACGTTTTTATTTTATTCTTTATTACCTTGGGGTAAAAAGAGGATACAGAAGAAGACATTAATAACTTTACATATATATAAACAGTTAGATAATTGTATAAGAGATTAGTTTGTTAATTATTATTTGTTCTATAATAACTAATAAAGAAATAGTTATCTTAGAACAAATTGTCATCATTAATTAATAATTATAAAAACATTTTATATCAATTAACCAATAAACGAAGAAGATTTGATTTTGCATTAATTGTAACTTATACAATTTATTTGTGTTTAATCATTTTTCAAACTTTTCTTCATTATTTAATTATTGGGTTTAAATCAACTGGAATTATGGATTCTGTATCAAATTTAATTGGGAATTTATTATCAATTGAAGATACTGCCAAAGAAGATAATGATAGATCCAAATTAAGAAAAGCTGCTAAAAGACATATATCAATTGATTTGGAGAATTTCACATCATTTTGGAAACGTGATGCAACACAGGAAAGCAATAATCCAATTCCTTCAAATAATGGATTAAACACAAATAATACTCCTGGTGGATCTGGTTCTGCAGCTGGGTCAAATGATACATTAACACTGGGAGGTGAGCCTACAAGTACAATCATGTCAAATACTTCTTCATACTCCACATATCTAGGAACAGCGGCAGCAGCTGCTGCTTCCACATCATCATCACAATTCCTATCTGACAAATTAATGGAAAAAGTATTATCAATAATGGGATCAAATGAAACCATGGATGAACATGAATCAAAAATCTTATCATATCGAGCAGAAGCTCTGAAACTGAGACCAGGATTAAGTCTTGCCATCATGCAAAAACATTCAAATATGTTACATCAACGAAACTCGGGAACTTATATTTTAATAAATTCAATAATTGATTTTTTGAATTGGACAAATCCATATTTTACCATGGGGATATTATTAATTATAACTCATGTAATATTAAAACCTTATTTAATTACTATTGTTCCGATTGTTAATGTATTGGGAAATATTATGATTCCGCATTATTTGGTTATATATCCTCCTGATTCGACGTTTTATCATCAATATTTTGAACAAAACCCCTTGCCGGCGAAGGTTAGGGTTAATAAATATAAGATCCCCAAACCGATTCCGGTACTTTCACAAGAATTCGTGATGAATTTGACGGATACGCAAAATTTTATGGAATTTTATATAAAATGTTGGGATTATATGGTTTGGTTAACTAAAGATTATTTATATTTTAAGGATGAAAAAGTTAGTTCGGCAATATTTATCTCATTGATAAGTTTGATGGTTTCGAGTTTATATTTGGTGCCCTTGGGGGTGGATTATTTATTGAAACATTTTATTATTGTTAAATTATGGGGGATTATTAATATTTGGTTGTTTGTTGTTATGAATCATCCATTGATTAAAGGTCAATTATTGGAATGGTTTTATAGTGAACATACAAGATTAAATTTCCAAAATTATGCCAATAGGATTGAAGAGAAATTAACTCAATCATTAGTAGATGATCAACAAGATCAGAAAACTATGGACTTGTATAAATTATTTCATCAAGATTTAGAAGAAACTAATAACAACAGTACTCAAGATGTTGAAATGTTTGGATATCCTACCACGGTTGAGATTTATGAATTACAAAAATTAGATCGTAGAACTAAGATATGGAGATTAGTGGGGTTTACACCGAATTTTTATACCACGAATACTGCAACTAGAAGATTTAATCTGGCGATTATATCTCAATTAGAAATGAATAATGAAACAATTGATGATTTTTATGATGATTATTATAATAATAACGATGATGAGACCAATAATCAATATTCAGAATTACCATTCAAAAGACTACCCAAAAAGGAATCATTATCAGAAATTAAACCACCCAAGAATTATACATTTGTCCCAGGAAGTAAATGGAAATTAGATTATGAAACTAATAAATGGGTTGAAGAAAACTTGATTAAAGATTTGGTTATAATTGATGATGATGAAAAATGGGCTTATGATGCAATACCTGCAATGTTTGATAATGAAGATGGGACTAATTCTGATGTGAATGATTATATACCTAGACAATATTATAGGAGAAGAAGATGGATAAGAGATATCATAAGAGAATCTAATAATAATAATAATAAAAGACATTAGCNTTTATTCTATGTATAGTTAATATATAATCTATAAAAAGGGTTATTTGAGGAATTCCATTAAATCTAATGAATTCAATTTTGATTCTTGTAATTTCTGTTTCTTCTTCAGTTCTAATAAATTTGATAAATTTAATTGTTTAGATCGTTTCTTTGCTCGATCTTTTGATTTCTTATTCCCACCACTACCAGCACCAGCTTCTGGACTGACTCGATTACTATTCTTTTCAACCGACCATTCCGCCTTAAATTCCTCCTTTACCTCTTCCACTACCGTCTCTGTTGGTTTTTCTGTAGACCCCTGAATTATCGAATCATCATATTCTATCCCTCGACATCGTAAACATCTATATCGTAACCGTCTCCCTTTTTTCTTATATATTATTCTAATCGACACATTTATCCCGGGAATTCGAATCATTCCACACGCGGGACAGAATTTATGTGATAGTATTGGTGGGAGATTGATTGATTTTTGGGTTAGGTGAGATTCAAATCGGATGGAGTAGAGTTTGTTTAAGGGTGAGGTTGGGGTGGTGTGGGTGAGGTCGTAGAGATGAAGGGAGGTAATTTGGGCGGGTGTTAGTGATGATGATGACTGTTTGTTTGACATTGTGTTGGGATGTGGGTGGTGAGATAAGATAATGGTGATTATGGTGTTTCGAGATTAATATTTTTTGAAGATGAGCATCTCCCCGGGGATGATAATTACGCACGGGGCGACGTAATTATTGGAACTGTGGGATTTTTTATTGTAACATTACTATAGAGTAACATTGGTTAAGTTATATTATTGTATGATGGAGCTATTTCAAACAAAGAATACTAGAGAGAAGAGATAAAGGTAAGAATGGTTATTTTTTAACAAGGAAACTTGGTTGTGTGGTTACAATGTTTTCTAATGATTCTGATATGGTAAAAAAAAAATGGTTGCAAAAAACGACTAAAACCTACGCAGCCATTGGAAATAAGACGAGGGGCAAAACCATTGAACTGACCTAGATGTGATCAATTTAATTTAGAGTAACATTAAATGAATTCAAAATGAATAGTATCTGTTCTTATTTAAACGGTTTCTTCTCTGTTTTTGATTTGTAGTGGTTGCAATTTTCTCAGTGGTAGAATTGGGGCCAGACTATTACAAAGATACTACAAGACTACTATACAACCTATAAATCGTGTGATATGTCAATGACTGTTTAGAAGCAAGTTACATATGTAAAAATGTTAAAGTATTCATATGTTAAGGGTTGTTTAAAAGGTGGAAGAGAAATAGTTGGGGTTGCTGGTCCGAAAGTATGAGTATGTGAATGTGATACCGATATGTCCGTATCGCATTTAACCATAAAGAGGGGGGATAGGATTCGATGTTAGATTGAAGGAGAAGTGGTATGATTTTTTATTTCTAGATGTTAAACCACTTATTAAAACTATAGATAGAGATTGATATGAAACTAGCTAATTAAGATTGTGATGATATTGGATTATTTTCACTCCGATCGGCTTTTTAGATAAATGTGGTGGTTATATAAATAAATGTAGCAAAAAAAAAAAAAGGAGTAGAGAGTACCGAGTTTTTTTTTTCTTCTTAACCAGATGAATCCAATAAGAAATAAGATTAATACAAATATAATACTTAGACTGTGATTGGCGTATTTTAACCAATGAATGACATATCTTCTCTTAACAATTAACAATAAAACATAACACAAATATCATATAAGAAGAAGAGTATTACTGAGAGTTTATGTGTAAATTTAAATTAATTAGTGTAGATATTTGGGGGGGTTGCAAAAAAAAAAAAAAATGTGAGATCTATACTTCTTCTTTGTTTTTTTTTTCTTATGATTTGACCGAAAATCGGTTACTCTGTGTAAGTCAATAGCCAATGATAGTTTGTTAAATATTGATTACTTAATATAAAATGGTTGCAATTTAAATTTAAATAAATAATTAAATTCGCAATCGGAATTAAATATCTATTTGTTACTAACCAATAGATTATTATAAGAATAATATTACTAAGATTATATAACACAATAACAGGGGAGATACTCACTCCGGTCTTATGATTATTATTTTAATTATAGTTTTTACTTTGTAGTGGCCTTACGCCTCACTCTATCTATCTATGTTTCTCTTTATACACACTTCTCTTGTGATATTATTAAAGTGTTTAAATCCACACTTCGGATATATCGAATATATTTATTCACCTTTTATTCGTTTCCTTTAATATTATTTATATAATTACTTATTTCTTCTTATTCTTTCTTACTTATTCTTAATTCTTATTGATTTTACATTCTTGTGTATTTACTTTACTACAAAACATAAAATACTTAATCAAGTATCTGTATTTACATTTAAGTTTTTTTTCTATTGATCTAAACAAATTTATTTATTTTCCCGCCCATACAATCACCTATACCTTTTATACTTCCCAATGATAATGTCATTACATCTGAAGAATAGACTACGTCTAATAATACCATCTACAACTACTACTAGTAGTAGTAATGGTAATGATAAAGATAAACCAATAACTAAAGTATTAAAATCATGTGTTAGATGTAGACAACATAAAACTAAATGTGATGCTTTAATTACCAATCCATTACCTTGTTCACATTGTGCTAAAAAGAATATTAATTGTACTTTAGATGTTATAACAAAACATCCTAATAGAATTAATATTAATAAACATATTGATTTAATTGAAAAATTAACTAATGAAGTTGAAGATTTAACTTATGTTTTAGATAAATTAATTGATCGTAAAACTAATATGATTCAATTATTATTAGAGAGAGGTAAGGCTATGCAACAGATAGTACCACCACCCCGAGAACCATCACCTAAATTAATCAAGAAACAAGTTAAAGCTATTCCACAAGTATCAACTATTCAATCAGTTATACAATCACCTGAAGATATTCCATCTCCTGAAATATTACTATCACCATTTGATCAACAACACCCATCTACAAGTAACAAAGATTCATCAAAATTTATATTATCATGTAATAAATCAATTAAACCAATAATATTAACTCATAAACAAATTCATCGATTAATTACCAATTATGAATCTAATTTTAATAAATATTTACCAATATTCCCAGAAGAATTCTTTACCAGTTTAGATTTGGTCCAATTTCATCAAGAAAATGAATTATTATTTTGGTGTATTATAATGACTTCATGTTTAAATAATCCTCCAATACCAAATAATAAACCTTATGAAATTTATCAAACTTTAGCTGAACATATTAAAACTTTAGTCGTACATAAATTATGGTTAACTACTCCAAGATCTTTGTATGTTATATGTGCTTTGTTGATATTAACTACTTGGCCAATACCCAATCATAATTCTAAAATTGCTGATAATTTATCGGTGAAATTCATATCTACCATGAAAACCCTTTCATTACAATTTGGTTTACATAAATTAGAATTTATTGATGAATTTAGTCATAAAACAAAACTAAACATTTCTAATGAAGTTAATCTAAATGATTTAATTCGGGAACGGATTTATAAATTCATAAATATAAATTCCAATTATTGGTTAATTAATCTTGGACTCGCTAATAACAATTATAATGGATTTACCACTCAAGATTATATTATAAATAAATCATCAAATTTAGATATTTTAAATCCCGAAATTGGTGAATTTGATCATTATATAAATTCAATGTTAAAAATATCAATGATTCAATCAAAATTAAATGAAAATATGAATCAATTAATTGGTGATACCAATGAATCTATCCTTCTCCTCCCCAATCAATTAAATACTTCGAAATTAATTAATTTTAATATGTTTGAAATTATTTTAAATGATGTTGAATCAATGTTATTATGGCATGATCAGGTTTATTTATCTGATTTAATTCGAATATCGATTGAATATTCAAAATTACAATTATTTGTTTATTGTTTATCACAATCGGATATTAGTTTGATTGAATATAAGAAATATATAAGTAAGATTGTCAATACCAGTTTTAAAATATTAAGCATTGTTCGATTATTGTATATCGGAGCGCGTATCGGAATAGTAATATGCCGTACCTT